CAGCACCAGCAGGCAGGCTTTAGCTGAATGACCTGTAGTGTAATTTTCCCTTCAAGAGCTGATACTTTCTCTGTTACTGTATTAGGATCTTCCCATTTTGTGTGTTACACATGGCTGGACATGACGATTTCTTCTGCAGGCACATCTGGCAACAGCCGTATTCCCTAATGCCCCCGGCGATGGTCTGTCTGCCCTTCTCACACCAGCCCACAGGAGACTCTCTCTTCTTCCCCTGTCTACGCTGTGCTGGGATGTTTCCCCCACCCCCTTTCAGAGCTGCCTTTAAAGACAAGGAAAACAGGCAGTTGCCCGCAGCCTTCTCCCGTGGGTTCCTACGTAAACTTTGCAGCTCTGTTTTCCCTGGACTCGTAGCCCTGTCATCACCCCCCTCTTCCTGACTTTCTAACATCCCCCCCAAAAGCAGGCATACCTTCTGTCTCTTTTCTTACCGCAGAGGCTCTAATGGCCTGAACCAACCCTTCCCCCTCGGTTTATCTCTTCTCTTTTCTCTGCTGCAGCCTCCTCATGGAATGATGGACAAGCTAAAGGTTGAGAAAATACAGTAAAATACCTTTCTTATCCTGTAATGACCAAAGGAGGAGGACACGGCCTGATAAAAATGACAAGCCAGACGAATTGAGAGCCAGACCCTTCACCTGCCTAACCCTCAGTGGATAGAAAACACTTGATAGGCCTGCCATGATTGCAACGGCTGCTGCAAGCCTGGAAAGAAAGAAATACTGAGCCAATTAGAGCTACAGGTTTCTGGCCAAAGAAATGTCCTTCTGCTACCTGTGAAGAAACTAATTCAGCAACTTACTGGAGAAAAACCCTGAAGCAGGCTGAGCATCAGAAGCTTGTGGAAAACACATCTGTATCCCTCTGTTTTATGGCCAGAGGGCTTTGCTTAGCATCAGGCATCTGCGTAGTCCCACTGCAGTGATGGAGGCTCACATGATGTACAGATCCAGCTGCTCGCTTGGGCCTATCTCCATTTTCAACCAGCTACCTCGCTCCTCTGTTTTTATTGGCAAGATTTTTGACAGCAACCACTAGTGCTGGATCAGCCATTTCCTGCCAGCGAGTGACCAAGAGGCAAACATTTCATTCACTAAAGTGCCCCAAAGGCATCTGAACTGCTCTGCAACAAAACACAGGCTAGACCTGTGAGCTGCAAACAAAGCTCCATCCACCTCCCATTTAAACAAATTGAGCCTGAAGAGGCCACAGGGAGAGACAGATGGGGGAGATAACAAGCATTAGGCTTGGCATATTCCTATGGCTGCTTGAAGTAACATCACAGATAGATTTCCTACTCTGTTTCCTTGCTTGCTCCCAAGTCCAGATGGAGATTGAAGGGGGGCCCTTTCTGTCCCTGCTCAGCCTTCCACCACACTTCTGGCTGCCTTCAGCCCTGCTTGTCCAAACACCTTCATCTCAGGTTTTCAAGTTTTCTGGCTGGCCCTTTCTTTCCATGCCCATCACCAGTACTTTGGGCAAAGAGCCTTGAGTTGTGCCAGGCAGTTAGCTGGTACTTCACCAGGCACTTGCCAGCTTTGAAAAAAATGGGCTTGTCATGTAGCATTTACTCTTCTCCTTGTTTCCTTCTGTCAAAATCATGCTAAAAGCAGGTAAAATGACCTTCAGTAGTTTCTTTCACTTTCCCATGCTGTAACTGCCATAAAGATGGTACAAAACTTTAACAGCAGGAGGGGTATCACAAGCAAATCGTGTCTGTTGAGTGGTCTCTGTCTGAAAACACAGCCCTGAGCTGGATGCAGCTATTGTGTTGTTTGGGAAGCTGGAGGACCTGTGTCATGCCTCTGCCAGGTGGCTCAGACTGACTCCACAGTGTGTTAGCCCCATGGATCAGAATGTCCTTTGCAGCATTCTATGAAGACATTTCGGACTCCCTGGTAACTGTACTCCAGGCTGAGTGATGTGAAACATCCCCCTCTGCTGCACATTCCAGATTAAAACCTCACATCAGATACAGGTATCCCCAGTTCTTATTAACAGGGGAAAAAAAGGTGAAATTAAACACAATTAAAACCCATTTAAAAATGTAAATATATACCATGTTCTGAATGAGACAGGCATGAAAGCATTATAAGCCATATATTTGCCAACAAACGTGAGCAGGGGCCAAGGTACTGAGGGTAAGGGAAAGGATATCTGAATGGATTGATTTGCACAGCTAGAGCTGGACATGTGAAGATGCTGTCTGGGTTTCCCAATTTGCATCTTTCTCCTAACTAAGGCCCACTCTACGAATGAGTTAATCCCCAGCAGTTAAGCAGGCTGGCTCTCCATCTGTCAGACTCACTAAGGCCCTAAAAATGGTTACAGCCCATCTACTGCCAGAGGACTCTTGGGAATGCCCAGCCGCCACACCTGGTAAGGAGGTATCCAAGGAAGGCAACATGACTGGAGTCAGGCTTCCCCATGCAGTTCAGGCTCACATTTAAACCCATGTGATCAGGATGGAAAAGTTTTTGCTCTCTGACCAACCCTAAGATGGAAACCTTCAGCAGAAGCTGAGCCACAAATTCAAACAGCACCGTAGAGGCAAGTCCTGAGGTGATCATCTGGAGACCGCCTCAGACCTGTGCAATTTTAACTCCCCTGTGATTTCTGTGCTGTAATCCTGAGCAGCACCGCTTGCTGGTGGCTCCATGGGCCACATCACACCATAGTTCCAAATGCAAAGTGGGTAAATGGCCAAGTACACAACAGGCTTCTCCAAGGAAGGCGAGAACAAACTGGACACAGGTAAACTGGTCCTAGCAAGTGTCTGGTAAGCAGAAGATCTAGCCCTAATGCTAATGTGGATAAATGAGGACGGGGGACTATAGGTAACCAAAAAGCCGTCAGTGGTTCAAGCCCTCAAGAGACCATGTGCAGGAAGTGCTGAAACCTTTCCATTGCAGAAGAAAAGGAAAGGACATGGGTCAGCCTGTGTTGAGGATCTCAGCTCCTCCCACACTGGCTTATTATTAATTATTATTATTACATTATTAGCTTAACCTTGGCAGCAAAGAGGCTCACTTAAGGGAGAATCAATTCATGGCAAATAAAAGATCTTTGTCCATCCACATATAGCAAAGCTGAAGGATTGGGGAGCTCAGAGGGACATTGCTGTGGGTCACTGGTTAGCAGCCATTCCACCAGTTTGCAGTAGTTTTCCTCAGCACTACAAATAAGGCATTTCCCAAGTCAGCATTTATAGTCTGACCATGACCAAAGCCTTTCTTAGGGACCTTAGACTGAGCTGTATACCCAACACCCATGGAGGAGGAGGGAAGGTGGCTCTACTCTGGCTCCTCCTCCAGTATAAAGCTGTTCCCAGGACCAAACCTGCATAAAGGCCAGCCTGTAAGGATTAGCTGCTGGTTTTTCAGAGGAAGGTGTGGGCAGAGAGAGCTGGAGTAGAGGCAGCTGTAGCTGAAAAAGCCTTGGGGTGTGAGATGCTCAACCCCCTTGGTTAGTGAGGTGTGTGACTGGGTTCTCACCTTCTGCTTCCTGTGGTTTGTGTTGCTGGCTTCTGCAATGTAGAAGCCTTTGGTTTGTTGTGGGTTTATTTGGTTTTTTGTTATGGGGTTTATAGTGTGTTTGTTGGGGTTTTTTTCCTAGGGTAACTAGACATGAGCTTGCAGCCTGTGAAATGTGGGCAATTTAACACAGGGCTGCGCTGCCTCATCCAGGTCTGTAGGAAGTATACGTGCCTCCTCCTTAGGTGTTTTAGCCAAGGTCAGTGGAAATAAACACTATGGCCAGGCAGCTTGAGACAATTAGCAGCAAACATAAAGAGAGCAAATTTGCCCAAGCTGGTCAGATCAGGAAATGACAGTCCTCACAAGTCTGCAGCTCAGAGGAGGGAGATGTCTTCCAGCAGGAACTTTTGTAATTCCTCCCTTGGCTGATGCAAACAAGCATAATTGTACTGAAGTTGGGGAGAGCCGCTGGCTGATCCTGGCTGTGTGCTTGCGCCATGTGTGCCAGAGGATTTTGCTGGATTTATTTAGCATCCTCGATTAAGATTTCTTTCTCCCTGCAATTAGTTCTTCTCCTGATATTTTTGGTGATGTTACGAAAGGGAATCTACTTGTCATAAACACTGTTTATTGTGTAGTTGCTGCAATACCTTTTGCCAAAGAGCTGGGAACTACAAAGGTCCAAGTGAACACTGTGGTTATCCAGAGTGAGGGTAGTTCTCCAACAAGGTGAAAATATGTCTGACAGGCTGAATAAGGGTGCATTTGCACTCTGAGTTAGGTTGAAAAGGCTGGTAGTGGAATAAAATGAAATTAAATGGTGTCTCCTATAAATGCAAAGGTCTGTGTTAACATGGCCCAGTGCAGGGGACTGTATCTGGGAAGCCAGGGTGGTTTTTCTCAGCTGAAAAGTGGTTTGGTTTCCTTGTGACCAGAAGACAGGAAATGATTTTGCAGTAAAAAAACCTGTCAGCAACAGAGGCACCTCTTTTGGACTTCAGGATCACAGTGCAACCAGGCTTAAATGTTCTGGGAGCAAGTTCCATCAGTTTGTTTCCAGCCATGGTAGGTCCTGAAATAGCAGACATCAGACCTATGACTGGTTCTTCGACCTAGCAGTGCTATTTTGGCAGCAGGCCCAGCGTTAAACATAACAAGAGTCATTTTCAGTCCTTGCTCTCCTGAAGGTCAGTGGCCCAAATGGTTGGATGTTTGTCTTAGCTGTTTCCGGACAAGGTCTGCGTTTTGTAATGATAAGGCGAAATTTGGAGATCCTCATGTTGGCAATCTCCTGCTAAAGTTAATTAGAAAGCATGTTTTTCCTGAATAAGGATGTCAGGATTTGGTCATTGGCAATTTTTAACTGTTTTGACTATTTTGAGCAGGATGTTCTTTTGTTGTTGCTATAACTGCTCCCTTTTACCTCCAGTCCATGACTTCCACAGGATAGTGCAGCTCATTCTTAGTATTAAGCCGGTGAAGCCCATTGCCAGGTCAGACTTTTGAGGTTCATTCATCTGATCAGGTCAAATGGAAGAAGCAGTTTTCCTCTTAGCAATAGGTCTGGCTGGCTCTGGCTTGCCAAATGCCTTCTGAGATGTGTCTCCTCCCCTCTAAAGCTCCCTTGAAAAGCTATCAGAGAAGTCAGCCACAAACTGGTCCCATTTTTTCTGCCAGACCTCTTTGGCCTTGGCTTTCTCACCTGGTAGCATGGCACTGTATCTGTGAGGAGGAGAAAAGTCAGTATCAGACAAGAGACAAGGGGGCAGCCATTTCAAGATCAGTGACCGAAATGAAAGGGCAGGAAGCAGTAAGAGATTAACTCTTGCAGGACATGCCTACACCACACAGAGTAATGCAGTGTAAAGAGCCTTGAGCTCCTGCCAGCTGGGCTCATGCTGGGACAAGGCCGTATCAATAGCTACAGAGTCATAGAATCGTAGAATAGTTTGGGTTGGAAGGGACCTTCAAAAGGTCATCTAGCCCAACCCCCTGCAATGAGCAGGGACATCTTCAACTAGATCAGATTGCCCAGAATCCAGCCTGGCCTCGAATGTCTCTAGGGATGGCACATCCACCCCCTCCCTGGGCAATGTGTTCTAGTATTTTACCACCCTCATTGTAAAGCATTTTTCCAGCCTGATTCTCCCCTCTTTTAGTTTAAAACCATTACCCCATTACACCATGTGGACAAACAGCTCAGTCTGCGTAAGCTGGACACTAGTACAGAAGAGAGAGCACTGCTTTCAAATGTGCCCTGGGCTTGATCCAGATTGGTAAGAAATGAATATTTGTTGTCTTCCCTGGCCATGCAGGGACTTGGGATTGATGTGAGGATTGGCACAGGATTTGGCAAACAGGCAAGAGTCCAGGAATGTGCAGAAAGGTCCTCGGCACCATATCCAAACTATTTTGGGACATTCAGAGCTGTCTAGATACATAGAAAATGTGGTTAAACACACGCAAGCTACATGCTGGTAGATTATTTTCCTGTGTTTCCCCAGTGAGCCATAGCAAACACCACAGCAAGTCAATTTTGACAGAAATAGACAAGTGATGCAAAGGCCTAAGATTTTTCCCATATCCGGAACAAGGTGCTGGAGGCAAGTTTGCAAAGGATGGAAAAGGGGGGATAAACTGAGACGCTGAGTTAGAGAAAGGCACTCAAGAGCACAGGCAGAGGAGTCTCTCGGTCCCTTTGTCTTGCCTCTGCAGGAGACACACAGAGGAGACTTTGGATTAATGGAAGCCCAGTTCATATGGCAGAGGAGACTGGAGGCAAGGCCCAAATACAGTGGATTTCCAGGGAGCATGTTGATAGCCCCCTTAGCTATTGCTAGATGAGAGAGGTGAGTAGCTTACTTTATGGAGTTGAGTGCAAGTTGTTTTAAGGTCCTCAGGTCAGCATTCATCCCTCCGATGGCCATGAACACCTCGTAGAAGTCGTATGAGACTCCTCTTGCCCCAAAGATAGGGGGATCATCGGGGCCGATCACAATGGGGTGCCCCTCAGCCATGAGGTCAGCTGCAGGGTGGCTCCGCAGATCGGCTACCAGCAGCAGGACCTTGGCAGGGAAGGGTGGGAAATAACACAACATCAGGTTATTGCTGTAGCTGTGCTTGCACGATGGCACTTATCACACTGCTCTAGCTTCCTCTAGCTGCTTGTGTCAGCAGGTAGTCATCAGGGAGGAAGAGCCTCCAGTGGGTTCTTCAGAGCATGCTAGGCGTTCTCCTCTGAACTGCTGCAGGAGGAGCCTATTTGTCTCCACTGACTACACAAGGAGATTGGTTTCTTACATTAATCACCTAAACCAAGGCCAGTGGGGTGAATAACTTCTGCTCATTTGTGACAATTTGACTGTGAGGGCATCTGGGAGCTGGTAACAGGGTTCTTTCCCTCAAGGCTCACACGGGTACATCTCTACCCCAGAGCACCCTTTCTGCTGCACCCAGGGGACAATGGGCACCATGCTAATGTGTTGCAAAAGAGTTCCCCTTGGTTATGAATTCTACAAAACCAAAAGACTTCCAGTTACAAATCCCAGCTTCTCAGCCTCTGACTTTGAAGTATTTTCCACTGTGTCTCTCTAGGTACCTCCCTGGCTCTGGGCCTCACCTCCACTAGGGAGGATTGCCTTCCCATGTTCCTCTGGATAGGAATTTAAATGACTGTGAACTGACTGGCATTACCAGCCTTATATATACACAGCATGTGTCTACATGGCAGACTGCAATGTAACATGGTGCAAAGAAAACTGAGCCAGCCTAGGTGCAACAAAAAGTTCAGCTGCTCCTCAGCCTCCTGTTATCATGGTAAATTCCATTCCTCTGTCCCAGCCCAAGACCTAAGCTTTTACCAACATACCTGGTTGGAGATGGGGCAGACTTCTACAGGAATATCCCTCTTCAGAGACAAACTTTTGGCTACTGGATGTTTAATGAGGGCAAGTCCATGGCCAATCCGACTGGTATTCAGTAGCAGTGCATCCAGCACATTGTTGTCCACAGAGGTGCCCTGCCAGTCTGAGCAAAGACAGGTAAGAATCACTGCAGTGCTGTGAGGAAATAAATTGTCTCAGATAAGAAATCTTCTCATAAAACTGCTAGATGATTTCTTTAATAAATGTCATAGTTTTAAGGTAGGAGGGTTGCTCATGCTCCGAGTTCCCACTTTGCATTCTCAGTGAAACAGGGATCCAAATCTGCCCAGGACATTCCTCAGCATAGAGATACCTACTTATCTCACCTGGTTTTAGATGTCCACAGTATTGCTCTTACAGCTAAGCTAATCATGCTGGTCTGCATTGATATTCAATGGAGAGAAGTAATAATTTCTGACGAATAGCCTATGCATTAGCATGAGATATATTGTGCCTTAGAAGTGCTTGTTGCTGTCCATATCTGTAAAGGGAACCTAAGGTAACTAGTTCAGATGTAGCCATCTTCTCTATAGATGTCAACATGCAGTAAGCATAACACACAAGTTAGACACAGCTGTCACACATGGTTAAGGTAAACCTCACCCATGTGGACTGAACAGTGGATTGCCAATAGGAATATGCTGCCCTAGGAATGAAAGGTAATGGTCAGTTACTTTGATGAGTGTATTCAGATAAGGTTTGAGGCTGGCTCAGACATGCCTTCACCTTAAAATGTAAAATAATGGTTGAGGAATTCTGCTGCCACTGTGATTAGGAGGTGGGCACTGCTCTGGGTAGGAAATGGCTACCAGAATAACTCTTGCAGCATGGCTCTGTGTCACACACAGGGCAGAGATGCTGAGCCACATGATGCCTACAGTCGAGAGCAGGGAGCAGGCAGGGCAGGTGCCATGTAAGAATGCTACAGTCAACAACCTGATACATGGAGAAACACAGGGAAAACTGGTTATATACACATGTATAGACACATGCACACACACACACTCTAGGTACAGAAGCCTTGCCTCTGCAAGCAATAACAGGCCTTGAGTCTTCATGCTTACCAGTCTCCCCAGCATGGAAGAAGTATGGCAAGTTGACCCCCAGGGAATATGGGAGGGTCAGGGCATCCTTCAGGTCCCATAAAGAATGACCTTCATCCTCATCACCAACCTGAAGGAAAGATAGGTATTTCTGAACGTGCTCTGGAAGATGGTGGGACTTAACAGCTATATGTCACCGAGGTGCCAACTGTACTGAAATTACAATGCTGTGGAGTAGGGAGATGATTCTTTCAGGGGATTTTGTCAAGTACGCTCAACAAAATCCTTAGCTGGAAGATTTGTGATTCATTTACACTGATTACAGTACAGCAGCAGAGGATCTGGCTCTGGTATAAAACATATGCCATATTATACATATATTGCACCTCTAGGGGTTAACTTGAAGCCACAGAAGAAATACAGTTACCAGGTCGAAGCCTGCCAGAGTGTCTGGGAAGCGGTCTCTGAGTGCCATGGCAGTGATGATGGCTTCTTCAATCTGGGAAACATTCAGCATCCTAAAGAGCCAGAGAAAGAAAGTAGTGCAGAGGCTCACTCCCACAGGCCTGCCTTCTCTGGCTTTGAGTTGTGAAACAGGGCCCCCAGGGATATTTCCAAAATGCAAGTTACTCCTGAATCTGACAACCAGCTTCAGGTCTCCAGAGTAACAGCAGTAGAAAATTGATATTATGAAAGGAAACCCCTGAATGACCAGGAAACGCCTGGCTAGACCTTGCTGTCACTGGAGTTGAGGCACGTCTGACTCACTGGCTTTCCCATCTACCAAGCAGGGAACATAACAGCATGGAGAGAAAACGTTTAATTTACTTTTTTTCCTCTCCACTGTTTTGCTGGGAGGTGGGACAGCAGCTGCATTTCAGGAGTTTTAAATTTAGATTTCTTCCAGCCTTATCAGACTTAAACATCACAGTCCATTTTGCAGACAGACTCCATCCATACCCAAGCTGGCCAGAGGCAAGCCAGCTCTTGAACTGGAAACGGCATTCTGCCAAGCTGGAGTGAGTAAGTGCTGATGAGAGGTCTGTTATATTTGCTCGGGATCACCTCACATGACTTCATGGCATCTGGCTGACTTGGAGAACAGCCTTGTGCCTGCCTGCGAACAGCAGCATGAACATACCGTACAAAGGCTGCTGGGAGAACAGCTTTTGCAGGGTTCCATGAGGACCTCTGTAATACCAAGTGCCCATACTCAGGCACTGCTGTCACTGCTTCACTTTCCGCAGAGAGAGGGAGTACATCCAGGCTCAGGAAGAGAGCATGCATGGCTTGGACACACGCATGCAAGCAGCCCTCCCCTTGCTCATTCCCACAGCCAGGGCTCACAGATGCTTGTCTCTCCAGCACACACCATGAGCTAACCCTGCTCGCTTTGCACGTACACAGACTTATATAGACGATTTCTCATCCTCAGCCTTTTACATGTGCCAGGGAATGCTTCGGGAGTCAATACCCCAGGTCTGATGACACAGATGGGCACTGCTAACCAACTGTGGCACTTCAGCCCAAACCTCAGCATCATTTCTCCTGGCCTGGACCCGTCTGTTCCTACCACCACCTTTGCTGTAGCATAGGCAGCCATGCTCAGCCCCTTTTAGCTCTGCTCAGCCTTTACCTGTGTGCTGTAAATATGATCTTGGCTCCAATAAAGTCAGGGTGCTCCTTCACAAACTGCTTGGTCACTTCCCGATAGGTTGCTATGGACCAAGACTTATTGTGCAGGGTGCCATCCAGTTCATACACCTGCAGGATGAGAAGCACATGGCAAGAAGAAGCTGTAAGAGGTGTTCTATTGGAGGGTGAGAGAAATGAAGAAAAGCTTGGGAGAACTAATGTGCTGTGGTCTATCAATAGGGCAGAAAAAAAACAGTTAAATCTGTGCAGAACATTTTCTTCTTGAAGCCTTTACCAGATGGCAAGAACCAAGGAGTGGTTTTCCTCCTTCCTGCATGATGCAAGAAACAAGTTCCTACATGTTCAGACATGGCAAGCAAGTGCCCTTGAGCACCCGGAGGATACCATGACCTCTTACTCATGTCTATATCAAATGCTGGAGTGTTTTGTCCAGCTGTCTGGCAGCTCACACACGCTCTGTGCCTCGCGGCGGCAGTCTATCAGCCAAGGCAGCCCCAAGGCACACAAAGGGCTCCATAAGCTCCATAAGCTCCCAGCTGGACTACACTTCTGCTCCACTCTCCCAGAGTGGAGCAGACTCTGTGACCTTGTGTCTGTTGTTTAGTCTTGCCATGCTTTCCCAGTTCTCTGGCTGTAAACTGGGAAAACCAATCCTTTTGGCATGCTCTGTCTCATCAACCTTGTGAGATCCTCACTTGGTAGTGAGGTTATACACAGGGCTTTTGTATACCTGTAGCCCTGCATACCCTGATTGATACTAACACACAAAGGACCTGCCTGGAGTCGCTTTAAAAACAGTGGCTAAAATAATTCTGTTCTCTTATCCTTCTTGCCTTTCTTTTCTCTTTCACCCTTCTCCACCCTCCAACTGGTCCACTCCACATTCTTACTTCCCCTCGATGTTGCCCCTCACAGTGATGCCCCTTGCTAAGCCCCTATGCCCCTGTGGCATCCCCCTTGCAGGCACCAGCAACTGTGGTGCGGACACAGACTCTCCAAGGGAATTTTCCCGAGCTGCAGCCCATGGGAATGTGAGACTTTACACAGTTGAATTTGCAAACACAGCTGGGTTTGGGTGGCTTTTCCACAATGTTTGCTGTTACGCACTAAATCCTGATTTTCATTTACTTTACCTCAGGGGCCGCTTCTGGCTGGCTTTGCTGCAAGGCAAGCTTTTGCAGAGTGTCAGTGCTGTTGTCCGAGCCTTGTGGAGGATCTCCAGCCACACAAGCATTTCACCATTCCCATCACACCCTGCTCACCTCATGAAGTGTCTCCTTTCCCTCCCATCCCTGCCCCAGCCTAGCTGGCACTTCCCTTGGGGGCCAGCAGCCCAGCATGCTCGCAGCTCCTTGCAGCCCTCACAGTGTGGTTGTACCTCCAGGCTGCCTGTACCTCACAGCATGCCAAGCTGCTGGGTGCAGGCAAGCCCAAGAGCTCTGGAGTCTCCCCC